GAGAGAGAGAGAGAGAGAGAGAGAGAGAGAGAGAGAGAGAGAGAGAGAGAGAGAGAGAGAGAGAGAGATGTTCTTCTTCTTCCTCCTTCAGCCCATCACTTCAGAGAGAGAGAGAGAGAGAGAGAGAGAGATTGGCGACATTGGGATTTGGCGACAGTTGGATTCAGACTTGATGTTCGGACAGAGCCATTGTGTGGGACTATTCCTGGATCAGTATCGACGACATTTTGAGTTGGCGACATTCTCCATATCTCCCCCACCTTCGTCTCTCCTCCCCCCTCCTTATCCGTGTATGATCGTGTGCCTGGCGCTTCGTCTCTGTGTTATCCTCCAGGCCCCTCACACTGCGTGATGATGATGATGGTGATGTTCAGTCTGCGTCACGACATTGATTGGGTCTCATTGTTGGTATTTCAGTCTTTCGCTGTGCTATCATTCCTCCATTTTTGAGAGGTCGGTTCTTGGTTCTGGTCTCGCATCCGGCATGTGACAACATGGTGACAACAACGATTTGAGGATGAGAAGGAAGAAGAAGATCTTAAAGAAGTGTGATGGTCCTTCACTGGTTAATGATGATGATGATGATGGTGATGGTGGTGATGATGGCAGTGGTGGTGGTGATGGTGATGATGTTGATGATGAAGGAGGTGAGGTTGTTGGTCTGATAACGATGGCGAGAGCTGTCCAAGAAAAAAAAAAAAAAAAAAACACGGTTTGATGAGGGTGTTGATGTAGGATTTATTGAATTTTATTCGTGAAGGGCGGTTATGCTTCTGATCTGTTTCTTTTTCTCTTTTTCTCCCCTTTTCATCTGATTCGTTTTGTTGTCTCTGGGCTCTGGGTGGCTGCATCTCTGACTGGTTGACAGAAAGCCATATTGGCCACACCGATGTTTGCTGAGCTTGCTATCCCAGTTATTCTTGACAGGATGTCAGCGGGTATGCATTCCGCAAAGGTAAGAAAAACGCTCCACCCCCACAACAAAATGTTTCTTTTGGCGAAGTTTTTGCTAAAAAATTCACATGTGAAAGATCAGTGGAAATGAGTCATCTACTGTCTTTCCTGACATCCATTGAAAGATCAGAGAAAACATGCCATCCCATGAATGCGATGCCAAAAAGTTCACATGTGAAAGATCAGAGAAAACATGCCATCCCATGAACACGATGCTCTTCTTCGAAGATCAGATAAATGTCTCATCCACTGTTCTCAGGATATCCGTTATAATTGGATTTCCACAAAGGTAAGGAAAACATGCCATTCCATGAATGCAATGCTCTTTTTGCCAAAAAATACACACATCAACGATCAGAGAAAATGACTCATCTACTGTCGTCCTGAGTCTTCCTGGCTCTTCCAGGATATCAGTTAAAATTGGAACGATATTCACATGGCCCCTGTCCAAATGAGTGGCCCACTCCACTTCTGACGTCCAGTTTCAGTTTTGGCAGTTTCTTGTGTCTTAGCAGTTGCTGCTTTTGATTTATTTAGAAACATAGAAAGAGAGAAATGGGACATCCGTTAAAATTGGAACGATACAGAGAAGATTAGCATGGCCCCTGCGCAAGGATGACACGCATAAATCGAGAAATGGTAAAAAAAAAAAAAAAAAAAAAAAAAAAAAAAAAAAGAAAGAAAGAAAGAAAGAGAGAAAAAGCAGGGTGCCTTGTCAGCTTGCAAGAAGAAAAAATATGTAGCAAAGATGTTGTTCTGTTTTATATGAAGTTATGAATGCTGTGCGACTCCCATTTCTTTCCTCCCAAGTCACTGAACTGCTCTCCACTTATGGGACTATGCGGATCGTGCCATTGCACTAGAAATAGACAATCCTTTCCTAAACTGTGATATCCACTGTGATAGCCATAGATTTGATACATCAACGGCCCAATGATGTGTATTGAAGAGGAATTATCGTGCGATGGGACATTGACACTGCCGCGAGTTGACTGTATCTCGGCCGTTGTCGCTCAATCTGGGAAATGAAGCACATGCCCTGAGCCTGCGAAACTCCTTTGAGCTGCTGCTAACTTTCTGTTTGTCTGGAAATCTGCCCCGGCCTCATGCCAACTTTCTGCTGCTAACTTTCTGTTTGTTGGCCCAGAAGTTTTCCCGGGAAGGTCGGGAAGTCTACCCAGGTCCATTCAGCATGAGGACTTACTGGCCAGAACCTGTCTCTCGTATGAGGGTAAGACCTGGTGTAACAATTCGTCTGCACATAGAATTTGTATGCAGTAACTTGTCTGTAGTACAAACTTGTCTGCAAGAAGAAGTTGTTTGTCTGCACTGAGAACCTACCTGCACTAAAGAACTCGTGTGCACCTCAGCAGACAAGTCTAGGTGCAGACAAGTCTAGGTGCAGACAAGTCTTACAGCCATGGATACCTTTGGGCTGGTTGAAAACTTTGTTGCACTTGTCTACCCCCCAGGTGCATACAAGTTTACAAGTCTTACAACGTCTGTAAGACTTGTCTGCTCCTGTCTGCACTTGTCAACCCCTCAGCTGCAAACACGTCTTAGAGTGGCTGTGAGACTTGCCTTATCCTAGACTTGTCTGCACCTCTCTGCACCTGCCTGCACCGGTCTGCATCTTTCTGCATCTGTCTGCATGTCTGCACCTGTCTGCATGTCTGCACCTGTCTGCACTTGTCTGCGCCTTTCTGCACTTCTCTATAGCTGCAGACAAGTCTTCCAATGGCCTAAGGGGGAGGGAGATGCAGTCTGAGAGATGGCAAAAGAAGAGGAAAAGCACCTTCATAATGGAGGACAAGTAATAATAAAGAAAACCTCACAAGCGCTAAATTTTCGGTAGAGTGCAGACTACGAGAGAGAGAGATTGGTGACTTTGGGACTTGATGACATTTGGATCCAGACTCGACATTGGGATTCAGACATTTGATGAGGGATTATTTGGGACCTGTACCGAAGACTTGGTGTTGACGACATTCCCATCTTCCCCTCTTCTTCGTCTGTGTATGGTTGGGGGCTGGCACATTCTTTCTGTGTGAGCGCCAGGCCCCTTCACACCATGGAATGATGATGATGTATGTTTGGTCTGCATTGCAACCTTGATTGGGCTGATCATTGTTATTTTAGCCTTCCGCTGCGCTATCCTCTACTATGTGAGAGAGCTCGTTTCTCGTTCTGGTCTGTACCATTACGGTATGCGACAGCATATGTAACACAAAAAGGCAGGCACGAGGTGATCTGGGGCAGTTTATGCGTTGTAGGCAGACTTGATGCTCTTACTCAGCACCCATCAAATTGATGCAGGTATAGTTCTGCACATCCTTAGTCTTGGACCTCTCTGCAATGACTTGCTGGTTCCAGGTTGCCTGTAGCCTCTCTGAGACGAGGCTGTACTATAGGTAGGGACAGATTCGTAGTTTTGTTTGGCTGAGGGCTAACCGAGAGACCTACCTGTAAGGAAAATTCGTGAGGGACATATTTGTAAATATAGGAGATATGGGCCCAGTACTAACTCGAATTTCCTACAGTCACCCTAACTGCGAATAGCAGACCCTGGCTACCCCTAGGACAGACAGCCCCAATGGGCCTACGCTGATAGACGGTCCTATAGCCTATAGCCGGGTAGGGAGAGGCCCTAGAGGCCGAAACAGAAACGGTACCGGTCGGTCGGTCAGTCCGGTCTAGGTCGTGTCTAGGCTAGTTTAGGGTATAGATAGGATGGGGACATCGGTCCGGGGCTTTTTGGCAGTTGACACTTCGTGGTGGAAGTTGCTGCGCACACGGTATCAGGTCGTGGTTGCTGATTCCGGTGTGGAGACGGCGGACATAGCCAGACCTTTGGAGCGCTGACCAGACTGGGGTCAACGCTGTCCGCTCTGACTCTCTGGGAGTCAAAGCGGTCTGGGCTATCAGAGGTCTGATGTGTTGGAGCACGTGGTGCACTGCTGACCCTCCTCAGGAGTAGGGTCCCAATGGCGATGCAGCCATAGCCGCATCTTCTCAGAGATTCTCATCGTCTGGACTTCATCTTCATCAGGGACTGTTGGTGCTGAGCTTCTTCTTCATCATCTGAGTGGTGATTGGCTTTGGGAGCCTGTTTCACTTTGGCGCAGGCCACTGAGTTGGATGTCAGGGTGGCGCTGGGTGTGACCTGGGTCCGTTCAAACGCGCCTTTGGGGCCCTGTTTGCAACCTTTGGGGCCCTGTCTGCAACCTTACCCGCCCTAAGTGAAGGCCGGCCTGGCTTTTTGCAAAAGGCCTTCGACTGTCAATTTCATATTTGGGGTTCAGGCAGTTGCGACGCGCCAGTTGGTTGAAAGAAACACATGCCGAGCAACAAGGACATTTCCACGGCCTACCGGGCCTTTCCAAAGAATGCAGGCCCTGGCCGTGATTCGCAGCCTCATACAGAGACAGTTGGGCGCCCAACCGAACGAGGCCCAGCAGCCCAGTAGCTGCTGCATCCAGGCAGCCTCCTGGGGCCTTCCGGAAGCTTCTGGGCCCAGGCCAAAGAGCCCGGCCCTGGCTGCCTCATTCAGGCACTCGCATGCTGGGTGGCAGCGCTGCTGGAGCTAATGCTCGTAGGCTGCTACTAGCGCTGAGAGGCGAGGTGCAGCACGTGCGGTCGAGCAGAGGAGGAGGGCGCTGCTGAGGGCAGCGCCATAGCCCAGCCACCATAGCTGGTGGGCTTGGACTACAGTGAAGCGCAGGGGTGGTCTTCGGGTGACAGAGAGGACAGGTGTGGGTGAAGTCAGGGGATAGGTGAAGGATGATGATGATGATGATGATGTGAGGGCACATACCTTGTATTGGCGATGGTCTGCATGGGCG